GAGTTTGTGTAAAAAGCAGGTTCTAAATAAGACGTGGATAGTGGTCCCACCCTGAGTGGGCCCTGTATATCTATTGCCCTCTGGGGAAACCAAGGCACAGAGAGATTCTAGGACATCCCTCAGGCCACATCAGCCCTGGGGATCACCTGACCGCCTGCCCTCAAGGGCAGGCTCTGGCTCAGTCTGGGTTGGGGAAGATTCAGGCTGCTATCCCCAAGCCTACACTTATGAAGCACCTATTCTATACCAGGAGATATAAATGCCATCATTGCAGTGAGAGGTGCCAGTGCCGAGGGAAGAGGGCACTGTGGGGCCAAGGGCGTCAAGAGCTCAGGCTGGTGTGTCTGAATGGGTCCTGGGGCTCCCGTGGCTCTAGTGGAAGTGGGGCAGGGGCAGGATGATAGAGGGGCAAGGCGCTGGGAGCGATGGGTATCCTGCTAAGTGTGTGTGGGGGAGGGGGTGGGTGAAGGGGGGAGATGTTCCTGTGGGAGGAGCTGGGGCTGGGGCCCATCCAGGCCAGAGTTTTAGCTGGCTGAGATGGGAGAACCGAGAAGCTGCTGCCCCAGCACCGCCACATTTCTTGGCCAGCTGCGCCCTCTGCTGCCCATGTGGGGCATCACTCTCTTGCTGGGGCTCCCTATCCAAGATGAGGAATGAGTAGAAAATGTGCCCCAGACCAGACAGTCATATTTCTTGCCCATCTCCCCTTCCCCCTGGGGGGCTCATTCATGAGCCCTGGGTGGCCTTGGGGACACCATTCCCAGGACAGGACCTGCCTCCTCCCATGTGGGGCAGATGTGGACATCTGACTCCAGACACCCATGGGAGGCTGAATTCAACTTCCCATCAAAGACACATCCACCCCAGCGTGCCCAGGGGGAAATCTCACTGGGGCAAATAAGACAAGCAGGAGACGATAGGGCCTGACCTCGGGCTTCCGGTCCCAGGTGCAATGCCTCCTCTAGCCAGACACAGCCCATGATGGGTAGGGTTGAGGCCTGCCTGGCCCTTTAAGAAAGCCACTGAGGGAGGGGTTCCTGTTGCCCAGCAACAAGAGGGTTTGGCCTATACCTGTCACTAGGAGACCAGGAGACGTTCTGCTCTGGGGACAGAGTGGCCAGAGCTGCCCTGCTGACTGTGGCAAGTGCCCCACCCACCAACCTGTACCTGGGCTGGTGGCACCATGGCACAGACAGACGTGCTCCTGACCAAGCAGCCTGCCCCACAGACAATACCCGCATGCGAGCTGCCCCCCAAGCTGTACGATGTGGCCCGCAACACGGGTGCCTACACGTCCTCAGGCCTGGCCACCAGCGGTTTCCGCACGGCCAAGTACCTGGTGGATGAATGGTTCCAGAACTGCTATGCTCGCTACCACCAGGCCTTTGCCGACCGTGATCACTCGGAGCGGCAGCGCCATGAGAGCCGGCAGCTGGCCGCTGAGACAGAGGCACTGGCACAGAGAACCCAAGCGGACTCGACCCGGAAGGTGGGCGAGCGCCTGCAGGACATGCACTGCTGGAAGTCAGAGCTGCAGCATGAGGTGGGCGAGCTGGGTGCTGAGACTGACCTGCTGCTGGCCCAGAAGCAGCGAATAGAACGTGCCCTGGATGCCACAGCCGTGCCCTTCTCCATCGCCAGTGACAACCTTCAGTGCCGAGAGCGCCGCCAGCACCCTGACCTCGTGCGTGACTACGTGGAGATGGAGCTGCTGAAGGTGTGGGCCCATTTGGCTCCCAGGGGCTGGCAGACCTGGGCCACCCTTAAGTTTCTGCAGGGAGCATGACCTACACAGGGGCCCAAGGGTAGACACAGTGTGACCCCATGACATGGGTTGGCAGAGGCTTTTGTGCCCATGCCCCTCTGCACACACAGGCAGAGAAGCTGGCTGTTTGTAGATCAAGGGCCAGAACTGAATCTTGGGTCCTAGATGCTGAGGCAGCCTCAGGCTGGTGGCAGGGTCACTCAATGGGGAGGCGCTGTCGCTGTACAGCATGCTGGGTTAAGGGCACCATAGCCTGGGGGCAGCATGTGGGCTCAAGCACATATGGGGGCTGGACCTAAACCTTGGGGCTTGTCCACTGGTTCCAACTGCATGTCTAGGGCCCCTGCACTGTCCCCCCACCCCACATTATGGTTCACATTGGGGGTGAAGCAGGGCACAGGCCATGACAGGATTTACAATTGGGATGTGTGTTGGAGATGTTTGCCTGAGGATGAGACAGTAAGAGGCCACTGAGGCAGGGAAAGGCCCAGCCAGTACACCCCACAAGCCCTAACACCCCTCCACGCACACCCCGGGCATGGGGAGGAACCTGAGCTGAATCCCAGGGGCAGCGCTTGAGGTCTGGGGGTATGTGCAGGGCCAGGAAGCCCTTCTTGGTTAGGTCCTGGTGGCACCTGCACTCACTGGGTGGTCCCTTGGTCACTTCAAGTTCTAGTACTCTCTGGGTAGCCCCTCAGGTCACCTGATCATGCAAATTAAGCCTGACCCTGAGCTCCCAGAGGCTGAGCCCACCATAGCAACTCCGCTGGAAACCTGTGGTGAAAATCCAGGCACAGGCCAGTAGTACGGTGTGGATAGGATGAGAATGGGGTGGAGGCCACATTCATCCCACAAGGAGCCTCCAATCCAAACCTGGAAGGACCTGTCCTGGGGTAGTCCCATAAAGATCAGGGGGGCTACTCAGTCTAGGCCCCTGATACTGGTAGTGCAGAGTTCCCAAACCTCTCAGAGCTTGGGAACCTCACCTATGAACAGGCTGCAAGCCATAGGCATGCATGAGAGATTTGGGGAAACAGGCAGCCCAGCCAGGGGCTCAAGGCATCCCCTGCACCCGTCTCCAAGATCAGGCCAGAAGCTTGAGTCCCTCACCTCTCCCTCCTGCCCACCCTTGGGGTATAGCCCCTCTGCCCTGAGCCAAGACCCCTTGCCCAGAAGTGCATGAACTACTATTGTGCTGCACAGATGGAGACACAGACCAAGAGACAGACCTGGACACATGTATGTTTAGTGCCTGATTGGGGGTGAAAATTCAAATCAGGGGAAACGGTTATTTGTACACAGAAAACGAAGCTGTCGAGGTAGCACAAAGAAAGGTGGGGAACCCCCTGCATTCTCTGTGGAAAAGGCCTCTCTGTGCCCACGGCCCCAAGGGGCAACCCCATTCAGAAGGCTGTTGGCCTGGCTGTCCACGGGCCAGTGGGCAGGCTGGAGCCCTCAGTGCCCTGGACAGGCTACGGGGACAGCCTCCAGAAATCAGGGGGTGCTGGGTGCCAGACAAGTGAGAGCTGCCGCTGGATGACCCTCCTCTCAGAAGTCCAGTAAAAGCCCTCAGAGGAAAAGACCCCATGCACCGCACTGAACAGAATGTTCAAAAGCCCAGAATAAACCTGACAAGGAGAAGCAGGGCTCATGCCCCATTTTCCAGGAAAGAGACCAAGGTAACAAGGCCCATCGCCCCCTAGGTAGGGGTCAAGTGCCAGCTGAGCCTCCAACATCTCCGGGTGTCTCCCCAAATCTCAGTTCCTTCTGGGTGTTTAAGGGGCTGACTGCGGGCCCACAGGAGCCCCACCATCAGAGTCTCACCAAGGATGGGGTCTTCTCCCCCAGGAGGCCGAGCTCATCCGGAACATTCAGGAGCTGCTGAAAAGGACTATCATGCAGGCCGTGTCCCAGATTCGGTGGGTTTCCAGGCCATGGGATAACCCGTGTGCGCACCACTCAACCTGGCTTTTGGCAGAAAGTCAGGGTGACCAGGCCCTGAGGCTCAGGGTTAGGGGGCTTGCCCTAGGTCATAGCAAGGAACATAAGCCAGAGTACCAGGTGGTAGTGGGAGGTAGCAGATTCCTGCATGGCCTGGGGGACCTGGGTGTCCACCGCATCAGGGTGGGGGGAGGGAAAGCTGCTCCTGGACAATGCTGGCTTGGTGGGCCTGGACATCCGGGGCACCCGATGCTGGGCAGATGAAATATGCCTGCTGCTGGGGTTTGATCTGCCCAACACCCTGGCGGGCCCAGCTCCCCACCACCCTCTGTGCGAATGCAGGCCCTGTCTGCTGCCCCCAGGATGAACCGAGAGCACAAGGAGAGGTGTGAGATGGACTGGTCTGACAAGGTGGAGGCCTACAACATCGATGAGACCTGCGCCCGCTACCACAACCAGAGCACCGAGGTGCAGTTCCACCCGCACTCCACCAAGTTCGAGGAGAGGTGGGCCCCCCCAGCCTCACCAAGGGATCCTGCCCGCAAACACACTGTCCCAGCACTCCCCCGTTCCCAGCCCTTGCCCTCACAGCTCCCTCTCCCCAGGTCCTGCTGGGGCTGCTGGTCTCTCTGCTGAGGGTCCTCTACAGCCCCACTGGCCTCTGAGGCCCTCACCACCGATGGCCCGCCCTCCTGCAGCTCTCTGCTCCTAGTGATGGGCAGCGATTAGGACCCCTGTCCAAGTGTCAGCCCCACACAGTTCACCAGAGCGGCGGGGGGCTGCACAGGGCGACAGGACCCAGGGATGGGGGATCCCCGCAAGCAGAGGGCAAGGGCACCAGACGCGGACTGACCTGCAGTTCCACACGCGGCCGATAGGGGCGCTAGGCCCTCGCCCATCGTAGCGCAGCCCTGGGCGGCGCAGGAGACACAGTGAAGCTCCAGGCGGCGCTGAAGGGCGCGGTGCAGAGCTGGGGTAATGGTCGCAGGAGATACGGGGGACGTAAGGGGTGCGGGGTCGCGAGGCGGCTCTGGAGCCTATAGGGGTGGTTGTTTGTGCTGGGGCGCCGAGGACACGAGGGTGCGGGGGCGCGGGGAAGGCCTGGTGGGAACAGGAGCCGTTGGCAGGTGCCCCCACCGACCGCGGTGCTGGCCCGCTGCCCACCCGCAGCGCCTCCACGCCCGAGTCGTGGGCCAAGTTCACACAGGAGAACCTGCACCGCGCAGAGCGGGAGCGCCTGGCCTCGGTCAACCTGAGGGGGCTCATTGACTGCATCCTGCGAGACACTGCCGAGGACCTGCGGCTGCAGTGTGACGCCGTGAACCTGGCCTTCGGGCGCCGCTGTGAGGAGCTGGAGGATGCACGTCACAAACTGGGGCATCACCTGCAGAAGGTGGGTTCGGGCTCGCAGAAGCTTCGCCCAGGACACATCCAAGCACTCCCAGTCCGATCTTGGGGTCTCGGAACCCATAACTAAAGAGAGACCAGGCCCCTGTGACCCCTCACTCCCCCTCCTGTCGCCACTATGCCCTGGTCACTACCTGGCCTTGCTCCTCCCCCTTTTCTTCCTCTCTCATCCTGAAGGACCCCAAAGGCAGGGCCCCCACTTCTCCCTGGACCCTCGTTTAACCCGTGAAAATCCAGGTGACATTGGAAGTGGTCTACTGGCATTGCCACCCTGGTCTATTGGCACTGATCTGGGGGGCTGTCAGGTGTGAGCAAGAGGGAAGGTGGGAGGAGGTAGTTCAGGCCTGGCAGGGCTCTGACTCCCAGCTCTCAGGGTGGCCTTTGCTGCCTCCAAGTCTCGCCCGTTCTTGGCCAGGGTTGGGGGCTAGTGACCACCAGGACTGGAGGGCTTTCAGACCAGAGCTGCAGGACAACCGGCGTGCTGTTTCACCCCAGCCGCCTGGGTGCCTTTGGAAGGGCCAAGGTAGCCGCGCACGTCCTCCTTGCCTCCATGCTTCCTCCAGAGCCAGCAGACAGACTGCTCGCTGGACATAGGCCCAGGGCTCAGGGAGGAGGCCAGGCCCATCCTGGCGGCCTGCGTTTCCCGGGGCCCATGGGGACTGTCCTGTGTGCAGACGCTTCGTGAGATCACGGACCAGGAGCATAATGTGGCAGCGTTGAAGCAGGCCATCAAGGACAAGGAGGTGCCTCTGAAGGTAGCTCAGACTCGCCTGTATCAGCGCTCACACCGGCCCAACGTGGAGCTGTGCCGAGATACCGCCCAGTTCAGGTACGAACCTGGGGTAGGCCAGGTGACTGCCCCCGCCAGGTGCTGGCCCTCCCCCCCACCCAGGTGCTGTCCACCTGCCTCCAGGCCTCCTTCAGCCTCTGGGACCCCCATGAACAACCCCCACTATACACAGCACCCTGAAAATGTGTTGAGAAGACACCAGGACCTCATGCTGGTGCTTCTAGAAGGATAAGCTTCTAGAAGCAGCTCACACAAGCAGGCATTTGCACTTCCCCATTCCCATCCAATGGGACAGGCTTTGGGGAGCACTGAGTGTCAGGGCTTCAAGTGCCAAGGACAGTAGGGCACTTCCCACTTCAACTCATGCTGTACAGCCTTCCCCGTGAGGAATTTGGGGGTCTGAGTCCACCGGCATCATGAAGCTGTCTATACCTCTAATGTCATGGTGGACTCATGTCCTGGGCTGAAGCCACTGGTGGGATCATGGTTTTTGTTTTTCTAACTTACCGAGTGCTCAGCTGCCGTTGTGAGCAGAACTAAGCCCACCTTGGCATTCCTCCTTCCCTGTCCCTTGATTCATTTGGGAAAATTGGGGCCTCACTCTATCCTGCTTTCAAATGCCAAGAGTAGATAGAACTGGGGAGCCCTTGGGCCTTGAGTGGAGCCCTGGCCCCAGCCCACTCCAGCTCTGTTGGTGGGCTTCCCTTTGGGAACTTTGGGGTCCATTTATGGCTGAGCATCTTGGCTGGGACCCCTCACCAGGGTTCTCATCCTTTGAATCTCCAGCCTCACCCCTCCCAACCCAAAAGCTCAGTCAGTGTTCTCATGACAACTCAGCTTACACCTCCCTCCTCCAAATCCCCCAGGCTGGTGAATGAGGTGGAAGAGCTGAACATGTCCCTTGCTGCACTGAAGGATAAGCTTCTAGAAGCAGAGCAGTCACTGCGCAACCTGGAAGACACACGCATGAGCCTGGAGAAGGACATCGCCGTCAAAACCAATAGCCTCTTCATCGACCGCCAGAAGTGCATGACCCACCGTGCCCGATACCCCACCATCCTCCAGCTGGCTGGCTACCAGTGACCCGGGCTAGCACCACAACGGGGCAGGCCTGCTGGCCTTGGCCAGACTCAGGCAGGGTCCCGTCCTCCAACCCTCAAGTAAAGAGCCTGTTAGTTTTACACTCGTGGCATTGTGCTCAGGATGGAGTCTAGATGCCACTGCCTGGGTAATTGGGCTTTGCCTATGGACCCTATTGTTTTAGCCCCTGGGAGGCGAGGGCTCAGAGCATTTGCAAGGGCAGTTCTTCCTGCTCAGTGTGCTCCCAGTTACCACCAGGGGAGAGGGGTCAGTCAAGGATGGTAGAAGCCCCACCTCATGGCTCAAGCAGACCATTGGAGTTCCAGCCCCTCCCCGGCTCCAAGCCCCTCTCCCACACCCAAGGCACAGACGGGTTTCTCTGTCCACCTGGGTCACCTGCAGAATACTTTAGAAGAAGTATCACCTCCCATCCTACAGAAGCCACACCAGTCATCATAGCCTCCGATCACCACAGTGATAACGTGCTTTTTTTCTTCCATGTGCCCTGGACACTGCCAAGGCGAGGCTGGCTGGCTGGCTCTCCTCTCATTAGTGGGAAGTGAACCTGGGGCAGAGGTGTCAGAACACACTGCTGGCCCGGCTGGCTCTCCCCTAAGGGACTTGGCCCTGGGGGCTGCGGGCATCCATGCAGCACCTCAATGCCCCTTCAGGGCACCAGCCCATGCCTGGGGGTAGTGACCACCTGGGAAACCCATGGGACCTCTCTCTGCCACTCCCACTTGGCACAGGGTGGGCACCTTGGAGGGCAGGCCCTGAACTGGGGTGGAGGAGTCCAGGTTAGGGAGGGCCTCCACACCCAGACACCTTGGCCACCTTCACAGGGGCAGTCTTCTCGTTAGCCCCCTCCTTAGCCAGTGAGTGAGTCAAATGTGTGGGTTGGTGGAGACCACAGAGCCCCTGCTGCCCACCTGATGCCATACCACTCTGCACCCTGCGCCCACATCTCGGGCAGAAATGCAGTCCCCAGGGAGGACCAGGCACTTTTGTGGAGGGGCAGGTGGCAGTGAGGCCCCTCTCGCTATGCCCCCGTACCCCGCCACAGATGAACTCCTGGCTGCTGTTCCTTCCCCAGCAGCAGCTCATCTACAGGACTCCCAGGGACATGTCCATTAGGACTGGGAGATAATAACTCCTGCTGTGAGCACTCCTGCCACTCAGACCTCTATCATTGCCCCACAGCAGAGGCAGTGTTCCCATTGGTGCTAAGGGTCTCCTCATCCAGGCCCCCTAGAGAGCGGAAGCTGATAGGAGCTAAGTGAGAGGGGCTGTGCAAAGCTTATTATCTCTAAAGCTTGGTAATGGTACTAAGCAGGGAGGGCGGTGGGCATGGTCCTAGGGGACCGCCTGGCTGGGCTTCATTGTCTATAGTTCTCTGATGGCCACAATTGTAGAGACCAATGACCAGACTCTGGAGCTGAGCGGTGAGTCCAGGCCACACATCAAATACCCCGAGGCTCAAAGGAGCATTAGCTTCTCTGGCAGGCCCAGGATGGCCAGTTGCCATCAGCAGGGATTTGGTCCCTGCAAGGGTGGGTGGCTGACCCTGTGGGGCCACGAGGCTCAGCCATGCTCCCGTCGTCACGGAGATACCAGGCGGCATGTCCAAGCGATGGCTATTTCTGTCCAGGAGCCTCGTTCTCCTGCCACCTGCTGAGTCACCCTTGGTGTTTGCTGACCACCTCTGCTCAGAGCCCTGCCTTCCGGCCCACGCCAGCATCGTACCCCAGCTCAGTTCCCAGAGGCAACTTAAATGCAAGGCACATTTAACATACTGTTCCCTCCCCCAAGGGGATGCTCAGTGAATGCCCATCTCTTTTGGAGGGCTGCTCTGCCTGCTGGCAATAGGGAGTGGACAGCAGGAGGCACGGGGAGGGACACCAGGCCTGCAGCATGGTGAAGCCTGCAGCGTGCCCCCCTGGCTGTGCTTCACCCATGTCCATCTAGCAGAGGGGATACTCCCACCATTCTGAGCCCATCGGTGCCCATTTACAGGTGGGAAATCAAGGCTCAGATACAGAGAGTAGCAGAGCTCGGGTGTCTGTCTGCCTTTTTCTGGGAGCCCCAGAAGCAATAATGGGGTGGCAGAGAGGAGCCCCTGGCCTTCCCTGGGTCCACCAGCTCAGCTAGGATGTGGTGGTGAGAGGCAGGGGCCTAGGCTGCTCACCACCCTGAATGTCGCCTGCCAAGCTGCCCACTGTCTCAGAGCCAAATCACAAGGCATGGGGGCTGCAGGGGCTGCAGGACAGTGAGTCAGGGCTCAGGATCTCAGGTCTTTTCACATCCCCTCTGTCTGTGCCACTCGCCAACCAGGGGCGAAGACAGCTATCCCCTAAGGGTGCCGCTGGGCCTGCTGGAGTGTGAGCTGTCATCTCTGGGAGATGGGGCCAGTCTGGGAACTGGCTCCAGCTGGCATAGCCCCTGCCCACAGTTTCTACCAGCTCCACTCACCCTTAGCCTGGCACAAGAAGCCCCCCGCCACAGGCAGGGCCACCTCAGTCTTCTCTCCTTATCCTATCCTATCCCTCTCTGGTTATCAGTGAGGAGAGCTGGTGTGGGGGAGCTAGGAAGAGAACCAGACCTGTGGCTGGGCCTGGAATAGCAGAAATGGGTGAGCCAGCACCAGCTGCCCACAGCCTGCCTGTTCCCCAGGCCATGGCTGATGCCTCCCCCACAAGTGGCCTGGCTTGGTGTGTGTGGGTATGTTTCCCAGAAATTGCATGTTCCCAGGTCCAGAGGCAAAGGCGCCAGGTTCTTCCCCTAGGCCCAGTGCCCAGCTTTCCAGACCCAGAACAGGGATGAAGACAGACCCTGATGTGGGCTCAGCTTTAGGCTCACAGTGGGCAAAGCCCCTGCCTGCTACTGCCTGGGAGGGGGGCCCTATGAGTCATTCCCGCTGGTGGGCATAATGGGGACACAACCCTTATCCACTGGAAGCCTGAGATGATGTCAAGAGGTACCCCCAACAGGGTATTACAGCAAGCTTCTTGCTCTGCTGGGCACCATGACCTGAGAGGTCACAGGGGATGAGGGAGCAGACACCACGGGCCTGGCCAGACGCTGCTCTCCTGGGTTTCGTCCACCAGCCCCAGTCCTCACTTCCCAGTCAGAAACAGGAGGTGTCACAGTTACCAGGTGGGCCGGTCACAGGCACGGTGGCCATGGTCTGCCCCCCTCCCCCCGCCACTTTGGCCTCCAGCCCCTGACCAGTCTCCTCCCAGCCTCCCCAATTCCCCACCCAAGTCACTGTACCCCAGATGGAGGAGGCCCATGGCACCATCCCACAACTCACCAGTCCCAGAAGTTCCAGGTCCCCAGGGTCATACCACGGCATAGGTCTGGCAGAAGAACTGTGGAGCCTACACGGCAAGGTTATGCAGACCCTTTGGCAGGTGGTGAGTGAAGGGCAGGCCGGCAGTGGAGGGCAGGCTGGAAGCGGACAGCAGGGCCCTGTGATCCTCCTGCCGGGAGCTCTGAAGCTGGCCTGAGGCCTGTTGGTCTTGGATGGCCCAGAGGAAGCCGTGGGCGCCTGGGGCAGGCATGAAAGGGCTCTTTCACAGGCTGCTGGGGCAGTGATGCTGGAGACGTCCAGACAGGCAGCAGCGCTCGACTGTGAAATGGTAACAGGGATCGGGGTGCGGTGGGGTGGTCTTCATAGCCCCCCTGAGCAGGCTGGGCTTGCAGGGGTCTGTGCTATCCTTAGACCCCAGCAGGAGGGAGGCTTCAGCCCAGACTGTCTTCTGGGCAGGCCAGGTAGCCAGGATGCCTAGGACCCCAGACCTCCAGTGGGATGGGGTGGGGACTCCAGCTGCACCGGCCTGCCTAGTGAATGGGATCCCTGGGAGACTCCCACTCCTGTCAGATCCCTCCATGGGAGGAGGCCAGGAAGGTCTTGCAAGGTCCAGTGAGGCTGGGGGCAGGGGGACTCAGGGTCTGCTGGACTTTGGGGGTGGGGTAGAGAGAAGGGTTCCCATCTGCCAGGGAAGCTCAGCCTAGGAGTGGGTCTCAGACCCACCATGCAAGAGGAAGAACCTTGCCCTGGACTGCAGTCCCAGAGGGCTCCCTGGAGAAGGGGGCCTGGGTCTTTGTTCAGCAAAGTTGGGCTACAGGGCAGAGTAAGAACCCCAACTTCACATGCTTGCCCTTACAGGAGACCAGCCCTGGCTGAGCCTCCTGGATGCAGCTCTGGGGAGACCACTCGCCAGGGGAAACTGACGCCCACGTGCATGCAGGGCTCACCCAGGAGCCCCCAGCAGCTTCTGGTTGAACCAAGAAGTGGTGCCTCGACCTAGAATAGATGGGCCAAGTATCATGCAGGGAGGGGGTGTGGACGCAGGAGGCCTAGGACTAGCGAGGGTTGAAGATCATCCTTTCCGCATCGGGGTGGGAGGGGTTCACATGGGTAGCCTCTTAAGTTGCTCTCCCTCCCTCTCCCGGGATCTCAGGTCTCCTGGTGTCCGCCCTCTGCCCAGCTAAGCAGCAGGCAGAAACTGTCTCACAAAGGCCCCACCCAACCTGGGATCCAGGCCCAGCCTTATGGGGCGCGGCACTACTCTTCAAAGCTGCCCCTCCCCAAGGGTTCTGCCTGGCCACAGGAGGGTGGGGGACTTAGAGGGTTGATTCAGAGTCCCCTTGGCCATGGCAGCTACCCCTGCATCTGCCAGGTGTGGGGTCCCCAGCCATGAGGGCTTTAGGGTCCAGGACTCCCTGACTCTAGGCAGTTAGGGTGCCTGCTACAGCCCAGAGCTAAAACCCCAGGAGGGGTAGGAGCCCACAGAGGGAACAGCCCCCGAAAAGAAGCCTAGATGGAGCGGGGCTGCCTCAGCCACTCTTGCTGGAGGCTCTGGGAGGGCAGGTGTGAATTGTCTCCTGTGCGGGCCCCTTGGATTAGTGGTCGAGGAGGATTCTGAGGGCACATCCAGGTTCAGGGATGGGGATCCTTAGTCAGGGGCAGGGGCTGAATATCACAGAGGGGTGTGTCAGGCACTCTGTCTGGTTCCGGATGAGGCTCTGGCCCTGCCCACTACAGCACCTCAAAGGACCCCAGCTGTGTATTCTATACGGTCCCATGGTCCCATCTTCCGTCTCCCCAGACAAAGGGGCAGAGCTGCCTGCTGTGAAGTCTGGAGCTCAGAAGGGCATCTCCTGCTCAGATGTCCTCCCCTCCTCTTCCCATCTTCTAGGCTCTGGCCCAGATGGCAGCCTCTGCCCTCCTGCTTCTCTTGGTGCTGCCTGCAGGAACCTGGCCCAGCCTGGGGCTGCCGCGGCGACAGTGCGTGCACTGCTGCCACCCAGCCTGGCCCCCGGCTGCCCCTGGTTCATATGCCCCTGAAAATGATGGGGAGGAGTGGGTGCAGCTGCCCCGCATTCGGCCCACCATCGACATCTCAATCCTCAAAGGTGAGTGTCATGGAGAGGTGTGGTCCCAACTTGTCCCCTGAATAGGGAGAAGGGAACAGGAGAGCAGGTCAAAGCCCCGAGGCCTTGATTTAGTCAGAATAGCTCTGGGAAGGTACATGGGGCCTGGATGGGACACTCAGAGTTGTGACTCTTTGCCCCTGACAGCTTTGTCAAGGCCATCTGCCCCCCAGCCACCCTCTCAAGCAGGAAGCAAAGTGGCCTGGAGACGGGGCAGTGAAGAGAGCAGGACTTGAGCCTCCCTTTAATCCTGCTCACCTGCTCTGCAGTGACCCTCCCAGGCCCAGCTCCCACAGAAAGTAGGGAAGGGAAGCCTGGGTACCCCTTGTGAGAAGACAAGAGAGGATGAGTTCAAGAAGGCCTCACCCTGGGGGACTAGAAAGCAGCCTCATGAAGGTTGGATTTGGGTACCAACTTCCCGGTCCCCTCGTCCTTCAAAGCCCAGTTCGGACCTTTCCTTTGGCAACTGCCTGGACCCCAGTCATTCCCACTGTCCTGCTGGTCCCGACATGACAATCTGCACAGGCCCCAGAACAACCACAACTTTGGGTTGTGGTTCATTGCCCTGTGTGAGGGGCGGGTTAGCACCTGCCTTACAGACAAAGAAACTGAGGTTTGGGGAGGTGAGGTCACTGGCAAGGCCACATGGCCAGCAAGTGGATCCCAAGCCTTGACCAGAGGCATCTGCTTGCTCCCCTGCAGGTGAGAAGGGAGAGGCAGGGGTCAGAGGTCGCTCTGGTAGGAGCGGAAAAGAGGGCCCACCAGGCTTCCGGGGCCTCCAGGGCCGCAAGGGCCAGAAGGGACAGGTGGGGCCACCAGGTGCTCCATGCCAGCGTGCCTACGCTGCATTCTCTGTGGGCAGGCGTGAGGGGCTGCACAGCGCTGATGCCTTTCAGGCCATGCCCTTCGACACGGAGTTGGTGAACCTGGATAGCGCCTTCGACCTGGCCTCTGGCCACTTCTTCTGTGCTGTGCCCGGTGTGTACTTCCTGAGCCTCACGGTGCATACCTGGAATTACAAGGAGACCTACCTGCACATCATGTGCAACAAGCAGGCCACAGCCGTGCTGTATGCACAGCCCAGTGAGCGCAGCGTCATGCAGACCCAGAGCCTGCTACTGCCGCTGGCTGCTGGTGACACTGTCTGGGTGCGCATGTTTCAGCGTGACCGCGATAATGCCATTTATGGAGAACATGGGGACCTCTACATCACCTTCAGTGGCCACCTGGTCAAGCCAACCACCGAGCTCTAACTGCTGCAGAGAAGCCCCCACGTCACGCCCAACCCTTCATTGGCACTCACTCCCCAGACACCCCCAGCCCAAACTTACCCTCACAGCTGAGGATGGATGCCAGCAGTGCTTGAGTACTGACAATATGTAGTGATTGAGCACCGACTTGTGTGCAGATGCTGAGCTGAGTGCCAGAGGTGTGGCAGGAACGAGACGGACTTGGAGCCTGCCCTGATGGGGACTGGCACAGACCGAATGTTCACACAAGAAATTTGGGATGAAGACCATAGGCATGGGCATGCTGGCAGGGGCAGCGGGGGGAGGCGGAGCACCTCTGCGCGTGATGGAGTTTTCCTCCTGGTTGAGCGATTATTCTGCTAATAAAGGGCTGTAGAGTTATTTGCAAAGTACCTACTGGGTGTTGGGCTGGATACAGGGGAGGCCAGGGGTCAAATGCATTTGCTGGCCCTCTCAGAGCTGATTCTAGCAGAAAATTTGCTAAATTCCAGGGGTACAAATGGGGTAGGGATGAGAGTCATGTCCTGGGATGGACACGCAGTCCAGTTCTGATGGGCTGATTTTCCGGGGTTCCCAGTGTCCTCTCATCTGTCTGGAATGGGCTGGGTGGTGGAGGAATACTATATCTTACTGTGCATCAGAGCCCAGGGGAGCCCCACACCCCCATTGTGTCACCTCACACTTAGATGTGGCTGAAATTGGGGCCTGGCAGTGACGGAGAAGTCAGTGGGCCATACCCAGTCCCTGCAGGCAAGGGCGTAAGTGGAGCTTGGCCACGCTCACTCCACAAGAGGCCTCAGTCCGCCCCATGGGTTGGAGCCATCAGGCTGCCCTACCCTAAAGTCCACTCTGAGTCTCTTCCCTTCTTGCCGCATGTCTTCCAGCCACTCCAGAAGCTTCTGCCTAGTCTCTCTGGCCCCATCACTGCCACCTCTTCCCTGGGGCCTCCCCTAGCATCTGCTTCCATGGCTGCTCTCTCCTGAGCAAGGATTCTGGGGCAATGAGGCATTCGGGCCCTGGCAGGAGCAGAGTCTGGAATCACTAGAGCCTGGCAAGCTGGCTGAGGTCCTGAGCCATGTGAAGCTGCAGGCTGGCCAGCTGAGCAAAAGATGTAGGAGGCCTCATAGAGGGAGAGGCCATAGGCCACCAACTTGGGCTCGGGAGGTGGTAGTTAGTGGCTGCTGGCAGCCCCAGGCCCCTCTCTCCTGAGGAGCAGACTGCCCACCAGGGGCCTCATGGGTGCTAGACAGGCATAAGCCTCCTTCAGTCCTCATCCACCTTTGGGGCCCAGGGCCCAAAGAGCACTCAGACCTGGCTGGTCCTCCTCTCCTTCTGCCCCTCCCACCAGGACCCCAGCCCATTGTGAGATGAGCTCCACATTTGCCTGACTCTGGGGCTGAGGATCCTTCCTCAGATAGTCAGCTGATGGGGGCGGTGGAAAGGGGATGGAAACCTCTTCATCCATTTCACCCCCTCATCCTTGTGCTGGGGGAGGGGACGAATCAGGAACACGATGGCCCTCCCCACCACCATGGAGCTCAGGAAACCCTGAGCTGAGGTTGACCGAGTAGTTCCACATTCATTCTAAGGCTGAGGGCCGAGGGAGGGAACCTGGTCACAAAGGCCTGGACAGATGAAGAAACTGAGGCCTGCAGGGGTCTACAGAACTCCCAAGCGTGTGTGGTGCTGGGAGCTGGCATCCCCATAGACTGGACTATCCCATCTAAGTGTGGCCTGGACAGAGGAGGAGTGAGAAGAGGGGGCCCCTTTTGTTGTCCATGCAGGGCCTATCTGCAGGAGATGGGCTCCCTGCCAGCTGCCCAGGCCTGCAGCCTCCTGAGCAGAGGGCACATTGATGGGCACACTATGGACCCTGCCCCATGCGTGTCCACCCACAGCTTCCCACCCATGGCCTGGCCCACGAGGGCTGTGAGGGTCTGCCCTTCTGGGCTGCCATCTCAGGCCAGCACTGGGAGAGGAGGGCAGGGGCTCCTGGGGTCCTACGTATAAGACCCTCATGCCCTATGTGCAGGATCTACAGGAAGCTGAAACCCAGGGACTATGGGTCCCTGTGCTCAGATCTTGGCCAGGCCTTGACTCCAAACCCCAGCACCAGCCCTGGACCCCCATACTATGTCCTGAGTTCAGATGAAACAGAACCCTGGCCTGAAAAAGCTACAGACAAGAAGGTCAGGACAGGCATGGGTCTGTGCCCTGAGACTTAACTCCTCAGGAGACCTAAAACGGATACCTGCCCCCCAAGAATGCGAAGGCTGGACAAGCCCCCACTATGGTACATGGCAGGCAGCAGCAGGACTCTGGCGGGGAGGAGGGGGGAGCGTTGTTATGGCCAAGGACTCGGGATAGGGTGTCCTGGGCTGGAAAAGCCACATACAGGATACACCAGATACAGGAGTGGGGCTGGGAGGGGCCCCAGGACACTGAGTTGGGTGGAGCCTCAAGCTGAACTTTGGCCCTTTGGCCTGTGTCTTTTTATAGCTGGGAGAGCCAGACATGCCCCGGGTGCTTGGCAACCTGCAGATGCATCAAGAACAAGTGCTGAAAGGGGCCGAAGTGGTAGAGAGGGTTCTGCAGTAGATGACTGAACAGAAATGGGGGTCAGTGGGGGGATTGGAAGGATCCCAGCCACCCTCTGTCTCCCCAGGTCCTGGACTCCCTTTCTACCCCTAGGCTCCCTGTGTGCTTCTGGCCAGCCTGGCCAGGAGGGGGGAGGAGGGAAACCTCTGTCTGCCAGCTTCAAACCAAGCCTGCATTCTTTCCAGCCTGCTGTGTGCTAAGGGCCTCTGTCAGGGCCCCCAGAGCAGCAGTGATGAGGCCTAGAATGCAGGTGGGGAGTGGCAGCCGCCCTAAGCAGGGATAGTCTGCAGATCTGGCACCCACTCCACCTCTTTTAACCTCAAGGCATGAATCCGGCCATCCACTTGGCTTGGACAGGGAGATACGAAGGCAACCAGGCCAAGCCTCGAGGGAAAGGCCCTGCCCCAGCTGCTGACCCAGGAGGGCAGAGCAGGTCAGGCCAAGAAGGGTGTCTGACAACCTCCAGTACAAAGGCCACTACGTCCTCAGAGAACCAGGGGCCGATGGGACATGCTCTGAGTGTGGCTAAGACCCCCACTGAGAGCCTCAGTGCAAGCTGGGGGACATGCCAGGGGACACTGCTGGTAGGTCCAGGACAAGAAGGCATTCTCCCACACACCCTTCAGGCTTATTTATTTTTAAAAATGACTAAGAACTGGGGGGTGGAGGCAGGGTGGGGAACAGGATGAGGCAGTCACCCTCTCTGCAAAGCGATAAAGGTCACCCTCGGTAAGAGGCTGAAGACACAAAAATTAATGAGGCCCACTGCCGCCCTGCCCACTTAGAAGAAGGGAATTGATCCCAATCAGAGTAGCGAAGGGGAAGCCCCCGCTGTGTGACTCGGCTGTAATCAGGGACGAACATGCGTGGGTCATGAGAAGAAAGCTGGAAAATCACTGAATACAAGGACCTTCGCCTGAGAGATGGGATCCGGTCAGGGAGTCAGTTTATCCATATTAGTTGATCTGTTTAGTGGAATCCCAATAAAACATCCATTTTTAAAACTTAGGTGAGATTCATATAACATAAAATTTATCATTTTAAAGAGAACAGTTCAGTGACATTTAGCACTTTCACAATGTTGTGCAACCATCGCCTTTTCTAGAACAGTCTCATCATCCCCAAAGAAACCCTGACCCCACTAACAATCACTCCATACCGCTCCCCTAGCCCTTGCCTGTGTGTGCAAACATCAGGGAAGAGATCCTCAGAGACAGGGCCTCATTGCCCTTTCCTGAAGCAGGGGCCAGGGGAGGGAGGTTTGCTCAGGCAGAGCACCTGACCCCCGCCCAGTGGCTCAACACTGGGACATACCCAGGTGCCCAGACCAGATGGTGCCCCCGTACCCCACCCCATTGGCACAAATCTGGCAAATGCATAGCTGCAATGCCATCTTCAGGACAGAGAAGGTGGGCCTCGCACAGGGAGGAGCAAGGGGCCTGGAGGGGGCTGAGAGCCCCAGGACAGGGATGAGCAGGGAGGACGATGTCCCTCAGGCCCCTCAGGTGCCTTAGGACCTTCAAGGTAAGGCCCCACCTGGGCAGAGCCCCAGCTGGGCAGTCACCTTCAAGGTAAGGCCCCACCTGGGCAGAGCCCCCATCCCTCAATGACGCTCAGTTATTTATTCAACACCCTTCTGGGTTGTGGTAGCCGGACCAGCCCTCAGGAGCCAGGATGGCATCAGCTAATCTATACAGGACAGGTCAGTGACCTTGGCCTCAACAGAGGGGAAGCAGCAGAGTGAGGCTTGGGGACCCCAGCCAGCCACAGTGGAAGAGGGATCATGAATGAGATGAGGGTCTCTCCAGGCCCTCATCTCCACCCAGCCCTAAGATTCAGCGTTCTGCAGAGTTCTGGAAGGTTCTGCAGGGGCTGATAAGTCATCAGCAAAGATCCTAGTCTTCCTATCATTCAGTCTCCCTGTCGCCCCCAAAGGACATCTCTGTTCAGGCCTCAGGTTCCTGTGGGAAGTCCTTCCTTGTGTCTACCAGGTGTCCATCCATCTAGCCCCAGGATAGCTGATGCGGTGGGGTGGGGGAGCGGCGAGCCTTCCTGACCCCTCCTCAGGACGCCACCCAGGGCATCCCAGCTTATCTCCTGCTGATGGGGGTTGGGCTGGGAGCATAGCCTTGCTCAGCCCCAGGGCGGGCCGGCCTCAGTTTCCTTCATGCTGGGGATGCAGCAACTGCTCTGCCTGTGGGGGCTGCACTACAGTCACACCACAGGCCTCCTGCCCTGCCAGACAAACAGACCCCTTCTGTCTATGTGCCCCATCCCAGAGGCAGCTTCATCTTGTCCCCAGGGGCCGGATTTCCTGAGCAAGGTCACTGTGGAAGCCACTGGAGCCTGCCAGCCAATAAAACCCATCGATGTGGAGAGAGAGCTCATAAAACAGGTCACCACCCCTAGAGTGTATGAGTTCTGTGCTATCCCTTCCCCACTCGGGGCTGGGACCAGGACCTGCAAGCAGTGCAGTGGCTCTGTGGTCCCCACAGCTGTCCCTACCCTGTGTTGGGTGCAGGAGAGCAGCGGCTTGGCCGGGCTATGTCCCTTGGCCTACCTTGCCAGGTCCACTGGCTCCTAGGACGCATGGTCCTCCTGGGTCACTCCTGCTCTACCCCTAGGCCCTGAGGGTGGGTCATTGTTCCCTCCTGCTCGGTGGCCAACACTCTCCTGGAGTGTCAGGGATTGTTCACACTAGCCAAGCTTCTCCCCAGCTCCAGGCCAGCCTGTGGTAGGGCTGGTCAGAGTCCCCTGGAAGATTCCATAGGCTCCTCTACCTACTGGATCCATCAGACCCCAGGTGCCCTACACACACATACTCACACACACTTACACATGCATATGCACACACGCACACCCCTCTCTGTCAGGAACAGATTAGGGTGCCGCTGGTGTCTGTACTCCCCACAATATACTCTCTCAGCTGGCACCACTATTAAATCAATTGGGAGAAATTGATCCAGGCAGAGATTTCTGAGCCATCTGCTTGCTCCCAAAGCCATTCTGAGAGGACATACTTTGCATTCAGATCCAGGGGAGTCCTGACTATGGGGTGGGGGCAACAAGTTGGATGGGCCTGAATTTCTCCTGGGGCACCCTCTCCAGAAGCTAGTCCCTAGGGCAGGGTGGTGGTGGGTTTGGCCAGCAGCTCCAGTGCCAGGCTCTGTGCGCCCCACATGGAGGAGCCACCTCCACCCCGTGGAACTGAGACCAGGAGTGGCAGAGAGTCAGTCTGGGGCCCTGGAGGCAGCCGGGTTTCCACATACCCAGGGACAGCCCCAAATCAGCCTCCCACTGTCCGCACCCACTAGCCATTGAAGGAGCTGACCCCTGTATCCTTGAGGCCAAATCCTGATCCCAACCCTCCCAGAAGTGAGCCCGGGCCACCCCCACCCAGCCCCAAGGCAAATGCCCATCAATTCTTTTAATTCCGATTGTTTGCACCTTGCACTGAGTTATCATCTAAGTGCCTGCTGACCACTTCCAGCTGGGTGTTTGCCCACCCACATCCCGCTGCCTCCTATCCACTCTGATTTGCACCGACTTCGATCGGCTCCAGAGACAATATTTGCTTTGGGAAAGCGGCAAACATTTATTCTCTAATTTATTCAGGAGAGCTGTTGTCAAACACTAGCGCCCTCATTATGTCTTTGGGTTTCCAGGGCTTGGCCTCTGTCCGGGGTTGGTGCCAAGGCCCAGGCAGCGCTGAGCATCCTTTCCGCTGCCCAGCATGGCTCCCCCTGCTCCCTGTGCCCTTCTGAGGGCTGGGGTCCCGCTCTGGGCTGACAGAGGAAGGAAGCTCCAACAAGGTGGCACTGGTCAGGGCTGTCCCAGACAGGGTGCCTGCAGGTCCAGTGAGTCCCTGCACTCTGGTCCTTCTCCTTCCAGCCTCGAATAGAGGCCCATGGCACCCAGAACCCCAGCAAGGCTTGAGTAGGCATCTTCTCTGGGACCCCATTGTGGGTCTGGGGCTGCAGAAGTTGCCGACATTTCTAGGGGGTGGATGGAACCACTCTAGTCTGGGGGACGAAGAATTCCTCACGGGCCTGGCATTTGCTGGCATTTACATCCACCCACACAGCCTTTCCAAGCGGCTGCTATTTGTACTGAGAGGCCACTCCCCCAACGGCTGTCTGACTATTTCTCCTCTTCTGCTTCTGAACCCCTCCCTCTCCAGGCCAGAGCCCCTGCTGAAAGCAGAAGAGATGGCTGTAGGTTCCCATGTACTCACCTGCCCCCTCCCCAAGACAACCACTCCCGGTGCCCCAGGCCCCCTGCACTGGGCCCCTTTGGACACCTGTGGCCCTCTACCTACTCAGAAGCCTGGGGGCCGACTCTCCACCCCAAACCTCAGCCTCTCGCTCTCTCTCTGTGCTTGTTGTGTTCCGCACCCACTCCCACTGTGAAATCATTGGTCTCCATTCCTTGTTCCCCCCACCAGGGGACAGGGGCCAACAGGAAGGGAGATGCAACAGCAGAGGGTGGGCAGGCAGCTGGAGTCTCCTCTGCCCTGGGGGCATTTGCAGCTTTGTCCCTCACACCTGCCACCTCCAAAGTCAACAACTCCTAGATCCCAAAAGGTAGAGGGAGTGTGGAGACCCAGGCCAGAGTGTAGCACATTGTCTTTAATTTCACAAAGTAGCACTTGGCGCTGACCAGGTGAATCGATGCTGACCGGGTGACACGGGGCTGACCTGAGGAGGAGCACAGGTGATGAGAGGGTGGAGGCTGGGCTGGTGGTGGTCACCAGCTCACACTAGCTCCCCTGGCCTGGGAGGCTGGCACAAGCTGTCCTCACACCATGGAAAGCATCCAGGCTGCTGGGGGGCACTTCAGTAGGCCCCCATGTCTTGGGGGAGGGCTTGGGCCGGCAGGAAATTTAGACCAGGCAGGGGCAGGGCCCACCAGGTGCTGCCCACCTGTGACTCTCACAACCTGCTGGTCTGCATGAGCCCGTTGACCTCAGAGCTGCGTGCAGCCAGTGTGGCCTGCTGCGGTCGGCTGCTCTTGTCGAGCCGTGGCTCCGTGGCATCCACATCCTCGGTGCCATAGCCCTTGCGGAAGCACAGAACCTTCCGGAAGCTCTGGCGGAAGTTGTCAGAGAGGAAGCCGTAGAGCACAGGGTTGGCACAGCTGTTGGCATAGGACAGGATGACCACGAAGAAGTAGGCACCGGCGGCGGCAGGCTCCTCTGGCAGGACGACGGCCAGGTTGACGATGTTGATGATGAAGAAGGGCAGCCAGCAGCCCACGAACACCAGCACCACCACGACCACCATGCGCGTCACCTTGCGCTCCGAGCGCCGCCGCGTGGAGCCCACGCGCACACCTGACGCCTTCACCTTCACCACAATGAGCAGGTAGCACAGACAGATGACCAGCAGCGGCCCAAAGAAGCCTAGCACAGACGTGTAGATGATGAAGATGGCGCCCCATAGGCCCACGGGCTCTGGCCAGCTGAGGTTGCAGGTGTCCCAGCCCTCCTGGATGTCTGCGAAGACCACCAGTGGCAGAGACATGAGCAGCGAGAAGGCCCAGACCGCAGCACTGGCCAGCTTGGCCACCCGTGGGCGACGCCACCGCGAGGAGCGGATGGGGTGGACAACAGCCAGGTAGCGGTCCACGCTCATGACCGTCAGGCAGAAGATGCTTGTGAACTGGTTGATGCCGTCCAATGTCATAACCAGGCGACACAGCACAGGGCCAAAGGGCCAGTAGGAGACAGCGTTCTGTGTGGCCAGGAAGGGCAGCCCCAGCATGAGGAGCACGTCGGCCACGGCCAGGTTGAGGATGTAGATGTTGGTGACCGTCTTCATCTTGGCGTGGCGCAGCACCACGTAGATGACCAGCGTGTTGCCGCCCAGCCCCACCGAGCACACCAGCAGGTAGAGCACTGGCACCACGACGGCTCGGGCCCCTGGGGAGGGCACCGGCCCTGCCATCGTCCCGTTCTCGCCGCCTGCACCGGCGGCCACCAAGGAGGTGTTCCAGCCCACTGATGTGGAAGTGGAGAACAGAGTCTCCATCTCAGGGCAGGGCCTGTCCTCTCTGCAAGAGGAGAAGGGAGGATGCGGGCGATTAATCGCATGGCCAGGCACTTCCTCCCTTGGGCCCCGCCTGCCCCAGGAGGCACAGGATTACCCCACGTCGCAGGGTAAACATGATCACTCATGTTCGACTAGGCTAGAAATCACATTAGACAAATTGTTTGGAAAACAAGCCCAGAAAGGAAGGAACAGAGGGACAGCTGCTGTGAGTCGAGACATCGAGACGTCTGTTGATACCACGGTGGCTTCCAGACACCTGACCATCCCTACACCCCCTACTGCCCCAGGATTAAGAAATGCTGTCATTGCTGTGGAGGTGATGGATCCCGCCCCAGAGCCCAGGCCAGTAATGTGTCCCTCAAAGCTGCAATGACAGCACATCATGCAGCTGTTTCCCAGGTCATTTCCTTGGCCCACATGCAGCAGCAGGTGGGCTGGCTGGCAGCTGTGGGGGGCAGGGAAACCAACTCCTCTTGGTCACATGGCCAAGGCTCTGTCAGGGTGACACAGATGCCTCTCACCAGGGGACGGCGTTCCCGGGAGCCAGGTGGACACTGGCAAAACCTCTGCAGCCTGAGATCTGGCTCCTTGGCCACGTGGAAGGCCTGGCACCCTCCTGATGGTTTCGGGAGGTCACCCAGAGTTCGGCTTTGGGGTCGCCCAGGAGAGCAGGGCTCAGTGGGCGTTATTGCATTTCCAGCTGGCATCGGTTGATTGTGAGTGTGAGGGGCGTCCTCGAGTCTGAGGTCAACACCATCTCACTGTGACATCACTACCCTGACCTCACAGGTAAGGGACTGAGGACAGCAGGGGTCACCTCCCCAAGGAACCTCAGGACAGGTGGAAAGGGACAGGGAGAGTGATTAGGAGGCTGAGACTGGGCCCCTCACAACCAGTTGATGCCAGCTGGAAGAGCAGCAATGCCCACCAAGCCCTGCTCTCCTGGGTGACCCCAAAACCAGACTCTGGTTGACCTCCTGGAACCATCAGGAGGGTGCCAGGCCTTCTACGTGGCCGAAGTGCCAGACCTCAGGCTGCAGAGGCATTGCCAGTGTCCACCTGGCTCCCGGGAACACCGTCCCCTGGTAAGAGGCAGGGCGCTGGCCATATGGCCAAGAGGAGTTGGTTTCCCTGCTCCCCGCAGCTGCCAGCCAGCCCACCTGCTGCATGATGTGCTGTAATTGCAGCTTTGAGGAACACCCTTCTGACACGGGCTCTGTGGCGGGGTCCATCACCTCCACAGCAATGACAATATGTCTCGAGTCCCAGGCAGAAGGCACAGTGCAAGAACAGGCAACGAGGAACTCCACACACGTAGTAAATAGGGAACACAAAATGGACTGAATAATCACAGCTAATTATAGCCCGTGCCACAGGCCAGGAGAAAATGCGTGTACACGCGCGTGCACGTGTGTGTGGAGGGAGAGAAAGAGAGAGAAGCAGACATTGGGAGACGGAGTGTGAATCGGGACAATATGGGGAGAGTGCGTGGAAGGAAAGACTTTAGCTTTGTGCATGGGGTTTTGTAGAGAAAGAGCTGAGGCAAAGACAGGAAAACATTAACATTTGTAGTTCAAGGTGATGGGCACATGTGTATTTGTTATAGAGTTTTTGTACTTTTCTATGTTTGAAATAGTTCATAAAAATGGTGATGCTCAAGAGAAAATAAACACCTCCACTGACAAGAGGGAAAGAAGAAAGGGGGTATAGGTGGGGCCCCACTACTCAGGGGATAGGGGTTTAGCGGGAAGCCTAAGTGCCCCTGGAGGCTCCCAGGCAAGGGCCTAAAAGAGGCTGGAAAGGGCCATGATGACCTTGTCAGGGTCACTTAAGCTCAGTGGCCCCCTAGAGCCCTGCTCAGTTGACCCACAGTGCCCCTTAGTCACCTCAGAACAGAGGATGTGCCCAGCAGCTGTCAGTCCTGGGTTGGGGGAGGCAATTGAAATCTGGTAGACAAGTGGTGGTGAGGCAGCCCAGGATAAATGACAATGACAATGACAGAAAGAAACCCTCTGCTCCTGATGGGCGGACACACCAGAATTTCCAAGTTCACTTGGCTAACCCACGCTAGGAAACATGACCTAGAAAATTAACAATGGGAAGGTAGCCCGATGGATTCATTTCAGGTGAAATAAAAATATTATGACTTAACAAGCATGCCCACGATATGTTCGATGTATTTAGGATCCTCAATAAGGCATAGCTAAAAATACCATGAAATAAATTTGGCTTCTGTTTAAGAAGTAAATGAGCAAAGTGTCTATTTTTCGAAAATTACAACTCTTGGTGTGAAAAATCATCCTTTGAAAAAAAAACTCACAAAAGTCAGAATCAACTCCAGTCTGGTATAGCTGAAGAGAGAATCAACAAATTGGAAGAGGGGCTTAAGGAGTCCCTCAGCGCATGATGCAGAGGAGGATGCAGTGGGCTCTGAGCACTGGGAGGAGGGTGCGGACGCATTATTCAGAGAAGATGGCTGGGCACCTGTGGAACTAACTCACCACAATTACTGCGCCTGCTTCTTGGAACATAATTCTGCAAGAGCCATTATTCGGAGGTGGCAATCTTCTTAGTCATCGAAATTACACACTCATGGGAAAATTGTCCGTAGGGCCCTTTCTCTTGTGGGTGGGGGAGTCGATGGTGGAGGGGGACTGTGGAGCCAACTATGAGCTAATGCTGGGGCTTTCTGACTCAGAGCCCCCACCAGGAAGAGTTCACCCACCCACCGCTCAAAAGCGCAAAACTGTCCTGAGCAGAATAAAATAGCAGAATAAACGTAGACATAAAATAGTGTCAGAGTTGACCTACAGAGCATCAAGGACAGAAGAAAATCCTAAAGAATGCCAGTGGGGAGACAAGAGGAAATCCACAAGGAGTGAGGACGGGGACAGGCTCCTTCAGCTATGGGAGCCACAGGAGCCAGTGGGAGAAAATGTCACCTGGATTCCTCACCAGGAGGGGAAAGAGATATTTTCTGTGTTTCCCTGCATTTGGTGCTCCCGAGAGTGAGCCCCCTGCTGTGTGTTGTGACCTGGTGTGAGATATGCAACAAAAACTCTATTTTAAAAAGGCTGAAGTATGATGTTTGGGGACAACTGCATTTCAAGACAAAGCTGGAGCCCCTTAGTCGGAAGGGGTATTCCTGTGTTGAGGAAGCTCACGCTTCCCAGGTATGTCTATCCGGGAGGAAGGTCTCTGGGACTCTCAGAGAAGGGCCACTCGCAGGCCTACTCCTGCAACAGGGGTAGGCCTGCTGGTCTTGCCTCCCCATGCCTGGTGCAGAGGGGCCCTTTCTCACATTTTAAAAGAAATACCTTAGAAAGGGTTTTTGGCTCATTTTGCATGGGACTCAAGGGGCAGGGTGGGGAATAAGGAGCCCCCTGAAGGTATTCTGTTGGCCCATGAGGGGAGAGGTGCTCAGATGAACCCAGAGCCTGGGTTCTGAGCATGGTGTGACTGAATGCACGTTTGATTCTAAATCAGATCTGCATCTTGTCTTCATAAAGCTTTTGGCTGCTCAGGGCTCCTCTGAGACCCCTGCCAGGCACCCAGGCTGCCCAGAACCCAGAGTAGGCAGAGACTGTCAGGGCCCCCCTGCCATCTCCCCCAAACACCCCACCTCCTGAGTTAGACTTCAGAGCAGAGCAGAACAAAATTAGGCCACTATTATTGCGCCTGCCTCTTGGAACATAATTCTGCAAGAGCCATTATTCGGAGGTGGCAATCTTCTTAGTCATAGAAATTACACACTCATGGGAAAATTGTCCCTAGGGCCCTTTCTCTTATGGGTGGGGGATTCGATGGGGGAGGGGGACTGTAGAGCCGACTATGACCTAATGCTGGGGGCTTTCTGACTCAGAGCCTCCACCAGGAAGAGCCCACCCACCCACTGATGTGGCACATAGAAAAGACTCCAGCCCCTCACCCCCTGCCCCAACCTACCCCCACATACTGGCTGAGTGATCTTGGATAAATCATGCCACTTCTCTGAGCCTTGACTTCCTATGACAGGCAACTCCTACAAAATGCAATCTCTCCGAACAGATGAAACAAGCTCAGGTATGCAAGATGCTGCGTACAATGCCTGGCACACAGTGGGTGTTCAATAATTGCTGCTACTCACCTGCCCCAAATGGCCCAGTATCTCCTTCCCAACATCAGGAAAGGTACCTGCCCAGGATTCCTTGGAGAAGGGGGCAGAGCTTTCCCAAGGGCCTGGAGACAGAGACCGACCTCAGTGCTCAAGCTATCCATGCCCCAGCGAGATTCAGCCTGTACCTCGCCATCCCTTTTCAGGCTAGCCTGTCATGCAGTCAATGGGAGGGAGCTGCATCCTCCATTGGGACAGCTGCAGTGTGGCGAGGCTGTGGAAACCACCAGGTTTCATCTCTGGGCCCACTCCTCACCTGGGAGGCAGAAGATCCACAGGTGCTGTCCCCACCTATGTGGGGCAGGACAAATGTCAAATGTGGGGACATCCTGGCTAAGAGGAAAAGCCCCAGCACCATCTGGGGCCCCTGACCTAGGCCTGCCTCCCCCAGGGCAAGCTCTCCAATCTCTGCTTCATCTTGTGTAGAGAGCAGGCTGATGGCAGCCTGCCTCCCCTCTGGAGGGCAGCCAATGGCAACTCCACTCCTGCCCTCCCCAGACATGCTCCATTTGTCCTAAGGCAGCCTGTGGTCAGGGCTGGGATCTCTTCCCCATGGGAGGGACATTAAGGTGGGTGTGGGCTGGCACAGGGTTCATTGACAGGGAGGCCTGCTGGCGGAGCCCCTCCGTGGGGTCTGCATGCCCTGCAGGATGTTTCCAGGACCACATTCTGCCCCCAGCACACTTTATCAGAAATCTAGGTCATTATTTTACCAGGAACCAATGGTAGATCATTGTCATTGGTGCTGTCCACCACCTTCTTCCCCGGAGGCCCCTGTCCTCTTCTCAAATGGCCAAGTGTCCCCAGGAACCTCTTCTCTTCAGAA